GAACTCCTGAGCTCAAACAATCCGCCCGCCTCGGCCTCCCAGAGTGCTAGGATTACAGGCGTGAGCCACCACACCCGGCCTGTAAACAGATTTTTTTTACTTACATCATGAATATTTTCCAGGTCATCAGAAGTTCTTTTATGTCTTTTGTAAGGACAGCATAGTGTAATAGTTCTTTCATGGATTTACTATGATTTACAAGTCCTCTGCTGTTGGACAAATAGAGTCTTTTTTTTCTTTTATAGACAGTGCTATGATGAACATTGTTGTAGCTTAAACCTTAGAGACATAGATGATATTTTTTAAAGGATAAATTTCTAGAAATAAAATTGCTGAGTCAAAGAGTTTGCAAATATGTATACTTTTTTAAACCTGTGTTTTTCTACAACCTGGCCTATGTGAGCTAAACAGAGGACTGGAATTTTGACATAATTCTATCCCCAAATTACCGATATGCCAAATTAAGTCTTCATTTGGGTATTAGGAAAAATGTAAATTGATAAACAATTTTTGATGAAGTTAAAACTTTTGTATGAACTTAAACTTCTTGTGTTGCTATTGAAGGAATGAGTTTGTAATGCCAGTTCAGTTACTAGTAGTTGAGAAACCAAGAATTTTAAGGTAATTAATCTATATTGCCAATCTTAGGCATTTTCATTACCTTTGTGTCTTTTAAACTTAAAAGAATTTAACACTTTATAAATCTTTTAAATCAATTGTATTATACACCACATTTTCAGGTCTTTTGCCAGGGGAGGGTGGTTAATAGAAAGAGAAATCTTATAACATTAATTAATTAACCATTGACTACTTTCTTTATGCTCCACAAAGGGATTATTAATGAACAAAAATTCTTGCTCTAATGGGAGCTTACATTTTTCACCAAAGTTGGAAAAAAAAATAAGCTAGGATTTGTATGTGTATTTACATTTTCCAAAAGTAATGATTTTAACCTATTAAATTTCTGGTTATTATGTAGCTAGATTAAGCTTCTTTCACTTATATTTCGACTTGTGTTGACATAAGGGACAAGACTATTGGTATATACTTGAATTAAGATATTGTTGTAGTTTGTATCTGTGGCTGTTTAAATTTTGTATAGAATTAAGATTTTGTTGCATTTTAATTTTGGTGTAGATTTTTTGGTGGATTCTAGGATTCTGTGACCAAGTCCCATTAAAAAGATCCCAAAGAATTTTATTGCTTTATTTTTTGTAATATAGTTTTTAAAAATTATAGAGTAATATTTACTTATTATAAAAGCATTTAGACAATAAGGTAATAAGAAAATGTTAAATAAATCTCATTTGCATGATAAATTTATTCACTAAATATTGGGTAAACAGTGAGTTAAGTGCTGGGATTACAAAGTTAAGACATAATTAATGTCGACCTGTCTAAATATAGAACAGGTTGAAAATTCTTCAACATATGCATGACTCTTAAGACTTAAATTTTCTCTTGAAATTTAGATATTCTTGAAAATACATTTTGGGCTTACTTGTGGGATTCTAGATTATCGGATGTTATATACAAACAAGAAATCAATGCTTTGAGGAACACAAAAACCTGAGTACAGTTAGTTTTCTAAAAATATTGGACTTACATGTAAAACATAAAACTACAACACTTTTAGATAGGAGCATAGGAGAAAGTCTTCAGGATCTAGGACTAGACAAGGAGTTTTTAGACTTGACATCAAAAGCATAGTCCATAAAGGAAGGAATTGATAAATTTGACCTCATCAAAATTAATAATGTTTGCTCTGTAAAAGATCCTGTTAAGAAGATGAAAAAAAAGCTACAAACTGGGAAAAAATATTTGCAAGCTACACATCCAACAAAGGACTTGCATCTAGAACATATAAAAAAAACCTCTCAGAACCAAACATTAAAATCCCAGAAAATCCTGTTAGAAAGTGGGCAAAAATCATTAACAGATATTTCACCAAAAGGTAAAAGATATACGGATGACAAATAAACACATGAAAAGATGTTTACCATCATTAGCCAGTAGGGAAATGCAAATTAAGATTATAATGAGATATCACTGTACACTTGTCAGAATGACTGAAATAATAATCAGTGACAACACAAATGATGACAAGGATGAGGAGAAACTGTATCTTTCATACATTGCTGGTGGGAATGTAAAATAGTACAGCCACCCTGAAAAACAGCTTGGCAGGTTTTTTTTTTAATAAAAGTAAACTTGGAATTACTATAACCCAGCATTTGCACTCCTAGTGTTTATCCTAGAGAAAGGGAAAATTATGTTCACACAAAAACCTGTACATGAATGTTCGTAGCACCTTTATTCCTAATAGCCAAAAATTGTCAACAACTCAAATGTCCTTTAACTGGTAAATAGTTAAACAACTGTTAGTCCATCCATACCATGGATACAGCAATAAAAAGGAGTGAACTATAAGTACAAGGAACAACCTTGGATGAATCTCCAGAGACTTATGCTGAGTGAAAAGAGGCAATCTCATAAGATTACCTACTGTATGTTTCCATTTATATTATATTCTCAAAAAGTCAAAATTATAGAGATGGATAACAAATTAGTGGTTGCCAAGGGGTTAGGGATAGGAGTTCTAAAGGGGTAGCACAAGGGATCCTTGTAGTAGTGACCAATTCTATATCTTGAATGTGGTGGTTACACACCTCTGCACACGTGATAAAATTGCATAGAACGGTGTGGACACACATAGACAAGTGAGCGCATGTAAAACGGGTGATATCTGAATATTAAGTGTGTGGGATGTACCAATGTCAGTTTCTTGGTTTTGATAATGTGCTCTAGTTACTTGGTTTCCCTTTTGTGGGAAACTGGTTAAAAGGTACATAGGACCTCCTATACATTTTTCAGGGCAACTTCCTGTCAATCTGTGTAATTATTTCAAAATAAAAAGTTAGGCATCCCCCTCCCCCCATAAAAAGCACTGGTAGTAGGACTTTCACAGAACAAGAGAAGTGGAAATTTATGCTTTAATCAATCAATGATGGGAAAGTTAAGACAAAGTATCTCAGATTAATTAGAAAACTCTTCACTTCAAAATCTGTGTTCCTATCTGAACAAAGATTAGATTTTAAGATTTTCTACTAGGATAACAACATGAAATAAGAGTATGCTTTGAAGGTGAACAAGCATAAAGAATTTATTTATTTTGCTTCATTTTAGAAAGAAGATGTAAATGAATGTGGTGAAAGTATTGACAGAAATAATTTGAAACGGTCACAAAGCCATCTTCCTTACTTTACTCCTAAACCACCTCCAGATAGTGCAGTTATCAAAGCTGGATATTGCGTAAAACAAGGAGCAGTGGTGAGTAGCTTAACAAAATATGTGAAAAAATGAAAAATGAGATGAGTATATACTAGCACACTCTCAAATTAACATATAAATTGTTTGCTTTATTTTATGAAATACCAAAAGTGAGAGACCAGCATATGAGAAAGGGAGTCAGGAGATAAAATCGGAGTTATTCTAAGGATAACTCAATGCTATTATTTCCTTGGTCTATAGGCAGCCAGGAAAGTTAATGCCTATTACTATTGGCCTTCAGTTTAAATGAGCTTTCCTAACAGTTGAAATTTATTCCAGAAAGTTTTTCTATTGATCCCCACCCTTCCTTGGGAGTGGGTCAGAGAAAGAGAGCTCTAGGTCAAGGGCCAGGGGTGGGAGGAGGAGTGGGGTTTGGAAGGATCCTTTCCTTGATCTGGGGTTGGGCTGACCTCAGTGGGAAGCTCCGTGACTTTGGGCTACCTACTTAACCTCTCAGGCTCTCAATTTCTTTTTAAGTGAAAATCATATTATAAAACTTACTGTCCAGGGGTTGGTTTTGTTTTGTTTTATTTCGTTTTTTGAAGATGTAACTAAGAGAGGTGTAGCCCTTCACACAGCACCTGGTGATTAGTAAGAACTATTACAGGTTAGCCCAGATATTCCCACATAATCAGCTCCATGGTAAGAAATTTCTGGAAGAGCAAGTAAATTTACCAGTATTTCTAATTTAAGGCATTCTTTCTGTGTGAACTAAAGCTTTAGAATTTCATGAGAAAATAAATTTAAAGTTTGAAAATAAAAGAAAAAATGTCTGTGAGTAAAGAAATACTTAAAACTCTATTGGCTGTTCTGTTTGACTTCTCTTCACTTACCGGCAACTCTTGATTCCCTTAGGTCAGTGAGGGAAAGTTCTTTCAATCCTGTCTGACCTTCTTTAGGCTAAGAGAAATGAAGGCAGGGAAGACTGGGGGTTTCTTACCTTAGGATGTCTGCAGGGAGAGTCAGAATTCTCATCTAGCTATGACACTCAGTTGTGTGTTAATTAGGGCTTTTCAGGAGACAATCTTCTCCTTAAAAGTCCTCTTGGGCCCAAAATGCTAATCATTTAGAGATGCTGAAGTGCTTTCACAAAAACTGCATTACATTGACAAAAAATCTGTATAAAATAGGTTTCCTTTATTAAATATTTACTGCTTTATTATTATGTATAAAGTACTTGTAGAAGAATTCATGTATTTTACAGATGGAGAAACTTGTTGCGGTTTATTAACATTTCCGTTGCTTGCTCTTTGGGGGAGTGGGGAGGAAGGGAAGTGTATTTTTAAAAACTGTTAGAGCATTAAAAATATGCAGTCATATCATAAAAATCATATAATAAAAGCTAAAAGCCAGCCACTAAAACTTGAATTAAGAGTTCAAGGCCTGAGTAGCAAAAGAGGGATGAAGTTTCATTTTTCTCTACACTAAGGAGATTTTTTAATGCTTGACGTTTCTGATTATGGGTTCATATATCAGAATAATTCAGTGGTGATTAACATTTGACATTGTTAGAAACAGAAGTCTTATGTTTGTGTTCATCTCTGGTAGATGAAAAACTGGAAGAGAAGATATTTTCAATTGGATGAAAACACAATAGGCTACTTCAAATCAGAACTGGTATGTTGCTGTGTCATCGATGTTGCTTTCGAAATGTTTAAGAGTATTACATTGTAGTGATTATATATAATTTTTTGTACTGTTCTCTGTTTTTAGGATAATTCTAGTTTTGAGAGGTGCACGCAGTTTATTTTGTTGTGATGCTTTTGATTGATGATATTTTTCTTGATTCATCTTAAATAAAAAGATCATATCTTCAAAGTGGCATTCCACCTTGAAAGATCTAAAAATATCAAATCCCCCCAGTCTATCATTTTCCTCTAAAGGGGCATTAGAGGAGCTGGTGTGTATTAATAGAATTAAGTCTTTAGAAGTCAACACTTAACACTCTGTATTTCTGCCTTCTCTTGACATTTTCTTTTCCTATTTCAGATTGACTTAAGATCACATAAGATGTTTTTGTCCTATCTGAAGGTAGAATCAAAGATTGAAATTTCCTCTTTCCCTTGTTTGAGTAGCATCCTTGTTTAAAATATTGTCAGGTGACCTGAGTCCTGTAATACATTGTTGGATAATTGAATGCAATTCTGTACTTCAGATATCTATCCTGCCTCTTGTTGTATGGGACCTTTGAGAGGGGAACCATATGCTTTATTTGAATGAAGGCACCAGAACAGCATTGTCCACTAGAACATTCTGCATGATGGAAATGTTTCCTATCTGCGTTAATACCACTACATGTGGCTGCCGAGTGCTGGAAATGTGGCTAATGTGATTGAGGAGCTGACTTTATTTCATTTTAAAACTAAACGGATTTTATTTCATTTTCATTAATTTAAATGTACATAGTTACACATAGCTAGTGGCTACTATATTGGAGAGTGGAGCACTAGAGAATAGGAAGGGAATATTTTAAGATTCACCTCAGGTGTCAGCTCTACTGGGAAGCTTTTAGACCCTGGGTTAAGTGTCTTCTCTTTATGTGCCCATGGTACCCTATGCATACTTCCTTCATAATACTTCCCACTGTGTTTTATAATCACATGCATGTTTGTTTTTGCCACTAAATTAAATGAGCTTCTTGAGGGTAAAGACTCTCTTGTACCCGTTTATGAACACAGAACCTGGCACTTGGTAGATAATAAGTGTTTTTGAATGAATGAAAAATGGTGTAGCATAGCAAGCATAGCTGTTTTGACAGGGGGGCCTTTCTCAGACTTAAGAGCCTTAACTAGAAGTTGTAATTTCTTGGTTCAAAAAGTACCAGGCTTAGTGTCTCAGAAGGCTGCACTTATGCTTAGTTAGCAGGTTGACTAATCGATTTTAATTAATGCCAATACTCATGGGAAGAGTCATTCATGCAACAGACATTCATCGAGCTCTCCGTGGCCCTCTGCACCTTTCTGGGAACTGGAAATAAAGAGAACAGTTAGCAGTGGTCTCTGGCCTTCAGCAGTTCAGTTTTGCCAGGGTAGTTGACATGTGCCCCATCACCAACAGTAGTTTTAATGAGACAAGAATTATTATAAAAATGTTTACTAAATTTTGAAAACCTGCATGCTGGGTATTATGCTATAAAATCTGAGAGGAAGAATAAAGAACTATTATAGGAGATATGGAAATTACACTCTGTAATTAATTTATAATTGTTGACCTTTATCAATGCTAAGATGCACAGTCCTCCCCCACTACCCGCATTTCAACATTTCTGAAATCTTAGGGATGTGTCTTAGCGTTGCTGAAAGTGAGGAGCAGTCAGGAGGCAGCAGCTGGGCTGGAGTTGTTACTGTTTGCATATGTGCAGCACCTTTGGGTAAGATCCAGAAGACATCAGCATCAAAATGTGCAGAAAAAAGTGCTGGCAGCTTGGAAGAAAATCTCAGGGACACAATGGAACATTCTTAAGAAATGCCACATCACAGACACTCTTAGTACAGGGAATGGCATGGAGTGAAAAACATGGGCATTGATGGCTTCAAGTCAAAAGTGTTTTAGAAGAGCTGGAATCTGAGCATGAAGTTTTAAAACACTGTAGCCAGTTTATTTTGTTTACATTTTTCTTTTTTATATGCACTCAATAATATTATAAAAATATTTAAAGTATAATTGGGCTCTCTTACGATACCTTTTTATCATGGAGAAGTGTAAACATCAAGTAAGTAGAATAGTACACAGAACCCACCTATACTCATCACCTAGATTTCATAATTATCAACACATGGCTCAACTTGGCTTGTTTCTTCTGTTTTACCTCCCAATTTCCACTTCATATTTTAAGGCAAATCGTAGATATCACTTCTTCTGTAAATATTTTAGTATGTATCTCTAAAAGAGAATTTAAATGTTTTAAGAATAACTATAGGCTGGGCATGGTGGCTTACGCCTATAAGCCCAGTGCTTTGGGAGGCTGAGGTGGGAGGATCTTTTGGGGCTAGGAGTTGAAGACCAGCTTGGGCAACATAGTGAGACCCCGTCTCTACAAAAAAATTTTTAAAAATCAGCCGAGCATGGTGTCCTGTGCCTATAGTCCCAGCTACTCGGGAGGCTAAGGCAGGAGGATTGCTTGAGACCAGGAGTTTGAGGCTGCAGTGAGCTATGATCATGCCTGGGTGACAGACAGACAGTGAAACCCCATCTCTAAAATAAATAAATTAATAAAAGTAAGTTTAAAAGATTTTAGTGCACAACTGAAAAACTGGTGCAAATATTTGTGATGTGTATTAAACATTAACATTCCTCATATTTGAAGAGTCTTAAAAACTGAGGGGATTTTAAATCATCCTCTTGGCCCTCTTCTCCTTCCATCAATCTCAAACAATTCAGACTTGAATATGTTAGGTGAGGCACAGCAAGGTGGGCAGCCACGGTGGGGACCAGCTCTGGCAGTCAGAGCCTCTCAAGTGTGAGGAGGCTTAGCCCTGCGTGGAGTGGGGAGAGGAGGGCATCCACATGGGGAAGGAGGTGTTGGCAGAGATGGTTGCACACATGCTGAGTGATAAAATAAGGAGATATACTAAGGGATGATAAAAGCCAAGTTTCTTGCTGTCAGAGAAACTTGACACTTTTTGGTGAATGGATGGTATGTTTATGTGTACAATGAGGAATGAGATAGTTGCATAGTTTCAAAGTACCTATCCAAAATATACGTATTTTAAGTATAAGGGAAAAGAGTAACTTTACAGTACAGAAACTGGCAGATACCACTTAATCAGGTGGCCAGATGATTAAAATGAACTTCACTGGTAATGAGAGAAATTGAAATCATTTACCACCTGACAGGATAGCATGGGAAGAATGTAGTATCACTTCTGTGATATTCCTGCCAAAGGTACATGATCCGAATCTAATCATGAGGAAGTATCAGGCATACCCAAATGAGGGACATTTTACAAAGTAACTGCCTTGTCTTCTTCAAAAGAGTCAAGATTATGAAAGTCAAAGAAAGAATGAGGAACTATTCAAGACTGAAGGGAAGAAAAGAGATGTAACAAGCAGATGGAGCCTGTGCTTCTAAATGGAATCCTTTTGCTCTAATAAAAGACATGTTGGGCACAATTCTCTGATTTTTGTGGTTGTATTGTGATTATGTAAAAATATATCTTTGTAGAAAATACTAATGTATTCAGGGATAATCTGGGCCAGGTCAGCAACTCACTCCGAAATGTTTCAGAAAAATCAATTCTTTGTGCTGTATTTTCAGCCTTCGTGTAAACTCATGGTTCTTTCAAAGTTTAAAAAAAGAGAGAAAATCAAAGGGAAAATACCTGGTAGGAAAATGAACAACACACATGAGTAGACAATTCATTTAGAAAGAAATTAAAATGGCCCTTAAAAACATAAAAAGATACTCAGCATCACTCATAATGAGAGAAATGTAAATTAAAACTGCACTAAAATATTCTCATCTATCATGAGAAGGCTGTGGCTAAGTGAAGAGATTGGCAAATCCTCTTCCCCCAAAGCAACGATAAACGCCATTTTATAAACAAAAGGAACCAGGACCCCTTGGAGAAATGACTGCTTTCAGAGCTGGGGCAGGTAAAGTATAAGCTGAGCCCAGGACATCTAGTTGTGCCATAAAATAAGGAAGTGACTCAGAGAATGAGGGGAACATGTCAAAAGGACATAGGAGCCCCCTGGAATGGGCTTCCAGTGGCCAAAACTTGGACAATTTAAGCAACAAAATAAATAAAGATAGTAACAGATTATAACCCATAGAGTAAAACTAGTCAGGAATAAATAAATGGGGAAGGAAAGGCATTTCCTTAGAGTAACATTCTATCTTAATATATGTGGATAGATTGATGGGGTTAGAAAAGTAACCTTTTGTAGCCACTATTGTAATAATGGTTTCAGGCAAGCATCCTCAATGTTTGATAAAACCAGTGGGCAGCATTATGATGTGAATCTGGGTATTTCATAGGCTGCAACATCTTCTCAAAAAGACTCTTAACAATGAAAAGGGAAGAAGTGTGATTTACAGTTCGCGGCAAACATGACCTTATGCAAGAGATCAGGGTTAACACACCAATAATGGGACAAACCACCGTCACGTATGTGCCTCCTGATAATCACGCACTGAGAAGACGACAGTGTCACATCTGTGGTTTCCTGTCCAAAATGTATAACCTGAATCTCAGCACAAGCAAACATCAGACAAACTCAAATTGAGACATTCTACAAAAAAAAACAAAAACAAAAAACTGGCCTGTACTTTTTATGACACTAAAGATCATGAAAGAGAAAAAAACACCCAGTAAAAGATACTAAGAGGCATGAATCTAAATACAAGGTATGATCCTGGATCGAATCCTGGATCAGAAAATAGTTTTCTTTTGCTGTAAAGGATAATGGTGGGGCAATTAATGAAATCTGACGATGGTCTATAGATTAAATAATAGGATTGCATCAGTGTTTGAGTTTCTGGTTTTCATAATTGTACTGTGGTTGTGCAAGAACACATCGATGTTTTAGGAAATACATACTTTGAAGTACTTAGTAGTAAAGGTGCATCATATTTACAACTTGCCTTCAAACATTTTAGGAAAAATATATATACTTACATATTTATGTGTATATACACACAAATAGACTGGTAAAGCAAATGTAAAATGAACATTTTAGAAGACAAGATGCAAGGTAAATAGAAATTCTTTGTACTATTTTTTAAGTCTCTTATAGTCTGAAATTATTTCAAAATGAAACTTTTTTAAAACTTAAAAAGTCATGAAAAAAAGTCACGGTTTAATCTTTTTCTTTCGATGTTACATATGTCTTAATCTCATATCATATTCAATGACATACATATATAATATTTCATGGAATGTATTGTATAAATATGATGCTATTGGGAGCCAGTTATGCCCTATATGTGTATCTTGTATCTAATTTTGTAACCTTGAGTGAGGTACTTACCGTGTCTAACCTCAGTTTCCTCAGGTGAATACTAGTACACGTATTGTGTCGTGGAAAGTGTGAGAGTAAACATTTAAAACGTAGCAGATGTCCTGGCACTTAGTAAATGCCTAGTAAATAAATGGTGCTTGTTAAAATAATGTATTCATATAAAAGTGATATTTATAAAATGACAAATTTAAGTCAAAGAAACTGGATGTTCACTGCTCTGGTGCCTTGTATGTCAAAGTGACATTCCAAAAGAGGAAGGACTGCACTTAATGGTACACTGGGTTCTATCGGGGAAAGTCTGATGGTTAATGGCTTTTAATAAGCCACACTGTCATTAAACCCAGAAATAATGTGAATAAGGGTTATATGGAGTTTCCTTGTTTCAAACAACTGTATGTATAAGGTCGTGGTATTTGAGCTATTTTGATGTTGGATAGTTTAAAAAGGTATATTTGTGTCTTAGGCGTGCTTCAAGAAAGAAGTATAATTTTCACAAAAATCTCCCAAGTAGTACAACTAACCCATGAAAAGATATTAAGAATAAACATCTAGCTAGGCAGGGTGGTGAGCGCCTGTGGTCCCAGCTACTCAGGAGGCTGAGGCAGGAGGATCACTTGAGCCCAGGAGTTGGAGTCCACAGTGAGCTATGATGATGCCACTGCACTCTACCTGGGCAACAGAGTAAGACCCTGTCTCAAAAAATAAAAAAAAGAATAAACACCATATATCTGTTTGCTTTTTTGCCAGGAAAAGGAACCTCTCCGTGTAATACCACTTAAAGAGGTTCACAAAGTCCAGGAATGTAAGCAAAGGTAAGGAACAGCTCTGACTTGATGCCTGAGCAATTTATTAATGCAGAATAGTGCCTTAGTTTGAATACTGTCCGTTATATTTTTCTAGGGTTGTTTTTAACTTTTTATAGTTGGGATATACTAGAATTTTCAAAACCCCCAGGTTAAAGTACTGAAATATTTTATGTATTTGAAAACTAAAAGTTAAGAAACAATCCTTTTCATTGTTTATTTGAAATCTAATACAAAAAACAACTTATTAATGGAAAGAAAATACTATCAACAACTTATGTTATCAGATTTGACAAATTGATATACTAATTTTAGTATTTCAAAGGTGCTGCAGAATAGAGCTTTACAAGAAAATGTGTTAGCTGTGCCAGCGTTTGTTTGAGCAAACAGATTTCTTCAGTTAAAAACTTTGAACTTTAAAGTTGCTTTATAAACTTTCTTAAAAGTATAACTACATAAAATATGTAAAATTTAATGCAAAAAAAGGGAAAAGATGATAATTTGATTTTAAGTCAGTGTTTTACCTCATATTTATTTATTGACATATACTTGGTACTGGGTAAACAAGTAAAAGAAAAACTATCAAACTGCTGTTTAAATACAATTGGATAATTTTTTTTTCCGTAACAGTGACATAATGATGAGGGACAACCTCTTTGAAATTGTAACAACATCTCGAACTTTCTATGTGCAGGTAAGATACTTATTTGAAGATGATAGATCCTCCTAAGAAGAAATTAATAATTTTAAAGGTGAAATAAACATAAATAAGCTTGTTGCTTTTGAGGTTTAAAAAAATAGGACAACTGTAATTTACCAGCTTAGCAAAAAGATGTTATATATGAGTTATTGGTAGGTTACATGTTGAGGAAATGGGAGTATTCTTTGTTATGAATTAGTGAAATAGAACTAAATCAGGAAATGGGAATATTCTTACGAATTAGTGAAATAGAATTAAGTAGTATTTGGAGGAAGGGAAATGCTGTGTTAACTTAGATGTTAAGTGTGTACCTTCACATTGGATTATTTTTACACGTTTTAGAATTTTTATTTTTCTATTGTCATTTTTTGGTAATCTTATAAAAAGGGAAAGTTCATGATAATTAATAATCCATAATAAAAGTAAACAGTAGATCTATGTAGTTTCATTAATGGTAGGCATCCTGTATTTAAGTTTAAAATGTACTTTTTTGCTTACCACATTGAATTATTTAAATAGAAAGTTTTGTAAAAGAAGATTTGGCTTTCTTTTAGTAAAGTTACATATGCTTATTGCAGAAAATTTGGAAAATATAGAAAAATATTAAAGGTGATTTATAAAACACAATCTCACATTCAGGCAACCACTTTTATTTTTTTGCTGCCTTTCTGAAGACAAATCTTTTTATAAAAAGTGGGGTCATACTAAGTTTAGTGTTAACATCTTATTTGTTTCATAATAATGTCATTAAAAATTGTCTGAAAACCTTTTAGAACGGCACCATACTGCATTGTATGGATGTTCCACAAGTAAACTATTCGTTGTCACTCTGTTACCAAACATACCCATTTGCATAATTTTCTTACATTTCCTGTGATAATAAAGACGAACATCTTTCAGTGTAAATTTGCCTGAATTTCTTATTTCTTTAGGGTAAGTTTCTAGATCAAGATTAACTATCAGAGCGTGAACCTTTCTATTTTGTCCAGTTGATTTCTAGAATTGTGTTTCTGTTAGTAATAAATGAAAGTATACTCTACCTTTGCCTCCTTTGAGGTTTTCCTTTTAAAAATCTTTGTTAATATCATTGATTCATAAATATTATTCTGTATCTTTAAAATTTTTGTATTTCTAGATTCTAGAATCTAGAATTCTAAAATATAGAAATAAGGGACAGTATCTCTGTACCCGTTTCAGGATCTTGTTTAATTGGATTATTTCATAGTAAAGTTTTAAATTCATTTGAAAGCCAGGCCCTATCAAGTAATATGATACTTTGGAATATGACTACCAATACTTCTTTTAGGATTTAGGGCACTACTAGAAATTATTTCTAGAAAAGTAATATGTAAAATCATGCCAAAATGTTTTTTTAATTACACTATTCCATAAATATTATTGTTGTAGATTCAGACAGTGTAACAGTAGATAGAGTGAGATACAAGGGTTTTCTTTGACTATTTCCTCTCCTTGTTTTCTCTCTATAAGTATTCATTATTGATACTTTTTGATGTGTCTGATCCTAAAACAGTTAAGTGCCCAACTTATGTCTCTGTGTAGTAATTTACCCAGAAAAACCTGGTTTTAAAAAGTGATCTCTAAAATGATTTTGTTGGTGACAATATTTAAGTGACCAAAATAAATACATTGGGTTTATAGAAATAGAAGATGATTTTGAAGAAAAACTGACTGAATGAGTCCTTTTTTTCCTTTAGGCTGATAGCCCTGAAGAGATGCACAGTTGGATTAAAGCAGTCTCTGGCGCCATTGTAGCACAGCGGGGACCAGGCAGATCAGCGTCTTCTGTAGGTTTCCTGCTCGCTGGGGTGATAGTCCCTTGAGACTCCCCATCCCGTTGAGTTGTTTTCCTTCCTCTCCCCCTAATCCATCTGGTTTCTTTCTTTATTGAGATTTATTTGCATGTTGACTTTATACCAATTGGACTTGCAAAAAAATAATGCATTTCTAATTTAATGCTTCCTTGTAGTGTTATGTATACATAACTTTCTGTGCATTGTACTGTGTTAAATGCACAAGCAAGGCAACTAAAGAATAAACATTTCCTTGCTTTTTTTTAGGAATTATTACTTGTCGATAGGTCTAGATTTGACATAATTTGACAGATTCTTAGTATGGTATGTGGCCTAATCACGTAAGGCACCTTGAATTGTAGCATACACGGTTTTGTGAACATCTCAGTTTCCTCTTTACTTCTAATTTCAGTTCAGGTTTTTTGGCAGAACCTGCCATAGGACCACTGAACAACTGGAACCTTAAGTGCAGTTCAGAGCTCCTAGTCAGTATTTTCCACCTCATGTTTTCATTCTCATTTTCTAGCAGGTTAACTTAAGAGCCGCCTCCTGAAAACTACCACAGTTCTCTGTGGTAGTATGATAAAAAGTTTTACCCAGTAAAGAAATAGTAAGAAAAATGTATTTTATTTATTATGTTGAAGAATATCATAGAAATTAGATTTAGTTTTGGAAAACTTTGGCCACTGGTCTCTGAAAATACAAATTCTACTAAGGAATAAAAAATTGTAAGGAGTCTTAAAATGTAGCACTGTCATTTGTAGAAAGTAGTGTAACACATAGCTTGATAACCTTTATTATTTAGATTGACTATAAATGCTAGATATTTGTACTTTTAATATTTTTCCTTGAGTAATATTATAATACTATTTATTGCCTTTTATTATTTCCTGGTAGCGATGACTACAGATCAGTAAATAGATATCTATTTTTCTCATTTCTTAATTAAGTCATTCTACTTATATCCTTTCTGGAATATCTAAGAAACCACTTTCCTAGGTGTGAATTTTGTAGCTGCCTGTGTTTTATGTGACTTTTTCAGCAGACAACTATGAGACAGTGCAAAAACACAGTGTCTGTTGGGAAGAGGAAAAATTGGAGAAGGGTGTTTGTGTTTTGTGCTTTGTGGTGGGGGCAAATTGGACTATCTAGCTATGACTATCAGCAGACCTTTCTCTTTTCCTCCCTCTCTCCAGTATAGGTTAACTCTAATCTTAGCTTTGCACTGTGTTCCAGATGCGGCAGGCCAGAAGGCTGTCGAACCCTTGTATACAGAGGTATACATCAAGAGCTGGTGAATGCAGCACGTATGTGGGCTCTCACGCAAACGTGCCTTCTTAGTAGAGGGCCCAGACTTACTCACTACTCACAACTGATCATAGAAAGTTGAGTTAACCAAACTGCCTTTTGCAGTTATCATAACTGATTTTGTCAATACTAACACAAACTATTTCACTATAGTCATCAGGTTGGATATGTGTACTTTAAAAAAAAATACAACTTTACTAATGGAAAGAAACATTAAGCTAGCTCTAAAAATTAATATGCTGAATTGCTGCAAGAGTTTCACTATCTATATTATATATTTTGAGTTTATTTTTAATACTACAACACTTGAAATGTACCTTTGTTCTAATAATATATGCAAACTCATGCATGCATATGCATTGGATAAACTACATTACTATAGTTTGCATGGCATTTTAAATCTCTGATGAAAGATAGCCATCTAATAGGACTCTATAGTGTTTTGGTGATTTGTAGCACTTTGTTTTCAAAGCTTCTAGAATCATAAATGACACAATATACTAGGAACTATATGGCAATGCATTTAGAATCGTCATACTTAAGGGTATCTTCAGATATGACCCAGTTAGAAGCATATTGAAATTAACATTCACAACTGATAATTATTTCACCACAGTTTTAAAAATGATTAAATATGTACCCTTTGTCTTGAGAATCTTAAACCATATGAATATATGATATATTCAAAACTAAATAAATGAAATTAAATAAAAAGTGAAAAGACTGCTATTATTGGTTGCAGAGAAATTCAGGGAAGCAAAAACCAAGTTTTGTCAGACTGCCAGCAAATAATGTTTGAAAAATGTTGATTCCTGCTTATGAAAGAAATATGGCCTTTCATTGTTAAACATTTTCATTTTTTATCTTTCTAAAATGTATGGGATAATTCCTAGTGTTGATTGTAAATATACTCTTAAATAAAATGATAAAGCTGGTAGGCTCCCTTATAAACACAGTTCAGTTGCAGATGGAACACTGTATTCTAGTTTAGGCTGGCTGAGTCTTCAAAGTGTCATAGGCTGCCAAATTCAGCTTTGGTGACAGAACTGATTTCCTAGTGGAAATGGTTGTTGGCTGTCATTGCTTTAAACTCACCCCTAAAAATGCATTGCTTTGGGAAAGAACTTGCACATTATGCTGCATGGCTCACGCTTATGCTTTGTGTGTGTGTGTGTGTGTGTGTGTGTGTGTGTGTGTCGTATTCGTTTTCCAGAGAATCAAGTCTCACACTGAGTTACTAACCTTGTCTTTGGTGACCGACTGTGTCTGACCCACACTCCTCTTTACAGGAGCATTCAGAATCCAAGCACGCTTTCCGTCCTGCCAGCGCAGCAGCCGCCGCCTCACATTCCACAGCCAGCCGCAGCAACTCTCTGGTCTCCAGCTTTACCATGGAAAAGCGAGGATTTTACGACTCTCTTGCCAAGGTCAAGCCAGGGAACTTCAAGGTCCAGACTGTCTCTCCAAGAGAACCAGCTTCCAAAGTGACTGAACAAGTTCTGCTAAAACCTCAAAGTAAAAATGGCCCTCAGGAAAAAGATTGTGACCCAGTGGACTTGGATGACGCGAGCCTTCCAGTCAGTGACGTGTGAGACGGAAGCGTGTGGAGCCTGCGCCGTTGGCCATCCTCGGTTTCCTTTCATGAGGCCTCTAGCCAAAGATGATAAAGGGTGGAATGGTTTCTAATGCATATGGTATACTGCCTCTTAGATGTACTCTTCGTAAACTGGTGAACTAAGAATCTAGGGAGTGGCCAAACTAAATATAATTTCTTTTTAAAAAAAAGGAAAGAAAAGAAAAGTGCTAAGTGTCTCAGTATCATCTGTCTGAAGCTTTGTGTGTTCTCATTTGGGTGGTAAAATGTGTGTGATTTTTTTTTTCCCTAGTGACTTTGGCAGTTTAAATGTTAAACAACTTAAAACATGAAAAATGCTCATTGATTATTTTGGTCATTTTAAAATGGCTACTATGACTTTCTATTAGATGTTTGACATTTACACATTCTTATTGGTTAATATTACTGAATGAAATATTGCCAGACTAAAATACCTAAACTCATGAAGTCTGTGGTGCTGTAAAATTTATATTATACTACAATGTGGACTATTTTCAAATTCTAACCATTTTTGATGCCCTGAAATTTGAGGTGAGTGGTACATTTTACAGACAGGATATTATCAGTGAGGGTTGTGGGTTGTACTGGGGTAGAGAAAAGGGGAAAATTAGGATTCAAACAACTGTATCTTAGATATTTATTTGAAAAAACTTAATCCAACTTGCAGCAATCAGTGCTTTTATTCAGTGAAAATTACTTGGTAGGAAATTTTTGGGAGATCTGATTTTCTTATCAAAGTTTTGTAAATAGTTCTGATTTCTATATTTGGATCATCAAAAGACCTCAAGTTTATATGTAAAGACATAACTGCCCATAGTCACGAAATTGTTGTGGCCTCTACTTTTTGTCACTAATAACCTATATTCAAGTGCCTGTGTTTTTTCATCTTGTTTAGGAATGTTTTGAGATTAATGTGCTTAAAAGTCCTACATGATTGGCTTTAAACATTGGGATAAAATTAATTTTCAGTAGCATAGTTTAATGTGTTAAGTAAGGTAGCATTTTATGTTAGAAATACCAGAATGCTGGTATTCTACCACCTGTGCAATATATATCTTTTAAAAAAACAAATTTGAATACACATTTAATCATGGGGATATCATAAATATAAGCACCTCTCTAAAGAATCCTTAGTTTCAGCTGTTGAATTATAGACCAGTTTGAGCAAGTACCATTTTTTCAGTTCAGTCTTAAACATTTGCTTTAAGAAAACAGTCTTGAATTTCACATGCTGCTATTTTTATGATATTTTGCCATTTTACAGTACTGTTTTGAATTCATACATATCACCATTTCTCCTTTTCATTTTCTAAGATGACTTTTTGTCTGAGACAGAGAAAGAGAGAAATTTCCTATTATAGTGGTGGGGTCCAGAGGTTAAGATATATTATACTAGAACTACATAGTCTCAGTTTAAAAATCCATATGCATAAAGAGTGCACCACTCAACTTTTTTATTCATAAGCTAATATTTTTTAAAAGTTAGATTTAGATTTTTTTCTCTTTTGCAGCTACATTTTAAGATGATAGAATGAAAAAGTTTTAAGTAATCACTTTTTCTGCTGATATGTCCATTATAATGGTTCTTTTGAAAGATCCTTTTTCATGAACACACCTAAGAAATCTTATATGGACACTTTGCAATATTCAGAGCCTGATGCTGTTTTCTTTGGTATAGCTTCCACACTGCATGTTCATTTTAGTGTATTTTGGTATTGGCAATTTGATATATTTCATGGTGGCAAAATATTAGCTCTATTTTGGGATGTTTTATAGAACTACCCTTATTCAGTAGTGTAGGAAGTGTTCTTGTGATCGTCAGGGTCTCAATATTTATCTTAATTCCTTTATAAGTCTATGGAAATTATTTAATTATTGTAAAACTTACACTTTTGTAAATATGTCACGTCTGAGTTGTCCAAAAATTACTTTGAATACCTTCATATTTGCTGCATTTTTTTTTTCTGTATATATAACATGTCTTCTTTTGGAATGGAATATGTGTGCCTCCCAATGTTTATTGTTATGTCGTTATCTTTATATACGTCAAACTGGTTGAACACTGTAATGACTTGAGAATAAACTGCTCAGAATTTATTCTAACTTATTTCTCATTTTGTCTGGTCCAGCTCTTGTGTGAACAAGTAAATAAAACTAGTATGGAAAGTGCTTGGTCAATTGACTTGAATTTACGTATTTAAGGACAGTAATAATTTGGTAATCTTTGAAAGAATAAGAAGCTTCATATCTGTGAATTCTTAAGGCATAGATGTGAAGTTGTACAAGGAAAGTTTTTTTTTTTTTTTTTTTTTGAATAAAGAACTTGCCTGTTTTGCTGAATTAAAAAACATGTTCTGGCTGGGCGCGGTGGCTCACGCCTGTAATCCTAGCACTCTGGGAGGCCGAGGCAGGCGGATCGTTGTTCTGAGCTCAGGAGTTCGAGACCAGCCTGAGCAAGAGCGAGACCCCGTCTCTACCAAAAAATGGAAAGAAATTAATTGGACAGCTAAAAATATATGTAGAAAAAATTAGCCGGGCATGGTGGCGCGTGCCTGTGGTCCCAGCTACCCGGGAGGCTGAGACAGTAGGATTGCTTGAGCCCAGGAGTTTGAGGTTGCTGTGAGCTAGGCTGACTCCACGGCACTCGCCCCAGGCAAGAGAGTGAGACTCTGTCTCAAAAAAAAAAAAAAAAAAAAAACATGTTCTGAAAAGCAAAATTTTGTTGGCTTCAGAGCATAGTTTGAATCATCTGGGCTGCTTACAATGCTTGGTTATTGGTTAGACTAGGCATGATCTGAGGCTAAATGCAGAGGGCATTTTGATCCCTAGATGGGCATTGAGATGCACTCATTAAAAACTCCACGTCAAGAGTTAGAGGCTGCTTGTTGCAAATATTCCCTAATGATAATAAATATCCTATGTCTGCTGCAGTGAACACTATCCAGAGCCCAGTGCAGTGCCTGGTACATAGGTAAGGCTCAAATACTTCTTGAATAAATGAGGACAGGGCATTAATATAGAATGTATGAACTTTACACATTACAGAAACGTGTATTCTTGTTTACTTTGAAATATAAATCATACTTTTGAAATTCTGATTATAGAGCAACCTTCAGGGACTTCAGATGTCTTCTTTTGCTTCTTGTATCTGGTTCATTGTCTAAGCCTGCTGCTTTTCCCTTGTGTGTTCATACCATGTCCTCTGAAGTGCAGCCAAGAATGACTTTGAACCAGTGTCTCCTCTCACCTATTCATGTCCTGTTGGGGCTATTCTGGATCTCCTTATTCCTGTCATTGCTCAGGCTAAGCATCAAGGTGGAATCTTGATCTGTTGCCTTTTGTCACAAAAGCTGAGTGACATCTTAAAAGATCAGATAAGGCAAGCCTCTGCCATCAGTGCTAGCTGAAAGAAGTGGAGAGCCCAGGAAGGAAGAGGATTTATATTAGCCCATGGGGCAAGTTAGCAACAAAGCTGGAATTCTTGGCTTCTTACTGTATTCGAGAACGTCATCAGGATCTTTGCCCTGGGCTTGGCTAGAGTAACCTAGCCAAGTATACCAGGTCGCTTCCTAATATCCTTTGAGAGTTCCTCCACCCCTCTAAACATAGTCATTTAGTGTTCTACTCTTTTTCTCTCGATCTCTCATTCTCCTAAGGCTATTTGTTCTCTGTAATGCTTTCTTAGGCCCTCTTGGGTCTCTATTCAGTCAAATGACTTGTGAAAATCTAGCCATGGAACAGCAGCGTTAACTACTTAGTATGTGTGTTCTAATGTGCTGCTGCTACATTGGAACATATTTGCCCTAGAGTGCAAGGACCTTGAGGTTTGGGTCAGTGTGTTACACCTGTCAGAAACCTGTTTTCTGTGGTTTCTGTTACACCATGGATATTTTATGTTTGATACCCCTACCTGTAGCATGTTCAACACTTTCAAAAAGGGAAATATTGTTGGTTTTATTTAGGAAGAGCTTTAATTATTTCCAAGGACTTACTTGGGTTTAGCAAAAAAGGTTTTTTTTTTTATTACATCCTTTCTGTGAGGTTATTTTTCTAAAAGATTAAGATTTTCTTATCAACAGCGCTATTGCTTGTGTAACTCGTGTTGTCTTGTTCACGCCAGCCGTGGGAGACAGTCATAGCCTGGGTAACAATTTGAACCACATTTGTCTGGGAGTCTCCCTCCTTGGAAGTGACTGGTGTTCCAACTTCTGGTCCTCTCTTTCCCACTGGGTCTTGGACACCTCATTATTATCATCCTGTTTGCTGTGATCTTGTTGCTACTTCTCATGTTCCTCTAAGTAGTTGTGTTTTACAGATACATTAATTTTTATTTAAAGTTTATCCGTGGGCACATTTTGTCCATTTTTGAAAAGAGCTACTTAAAACTAATTTGACTATTAAAATTAGACCAACAATACGCAGTTAAGGCAAAAATACTGCCTTTTGCATTAAAGGTTTCTTTCTGCCTTAGTGGCTCGTTGGTCTGTATTCAACGGCTGTCTTAAACTTGGAGTCGTGGGTCCTGGATTCAACCCTAACTCTGCCATATCTGACTTTAGGCAAGTGTCTTTGTGTTTCCGAACTTCACTTTCTATGTTATGTAAAATGACAGAATTGGATAAAAGATATTTGTGTCTTCGTAATTTTTATTAACTGACGCAATTTAATTTTTTCTCTTGAAAATTAAATGTTTTTATCTTAAACCCAAAATGGGAAGGAAAAGTTCTAGATTTTTTGCTTTAACAAAAAGATCCCTTCCTCAGCTTTTCTTTCCTTGCTGCAGTACAGGAATTTTCTGTAAATGGTACTTGTGCCTTTATCCAAAGTTCTGTTAAGAGTTGGTGAGACAGGAAATACTTGTATACAAAGTGCAAAGATATACCAGCTTAATACCAGCTTTGGTAAAACAGCTTAATATCAGATCTTTGTGTTTGGAAGCGTTTGTTAGTCCATACAGGATTTGTGTATGCTGTCTTACTTTTTAATGATTTATGAAAATTGTATTTTTGCAAACCTCAAGTAAAATACATATCGAAAATATTGCTGAATAGAGGTTAGCATTTGTTATACAATTTTGATTGAAATCCTAATATTTCATTTTTTTGATGTGTATCGATGAATTGTGCCTTACTATAGTATATTCACGTGGTAATAGCACCA